GGGGGGGGGGGGGGGGGACAAGTTCAAGCATGTCAAAGGAGGTCCGTTCTCTCAAGTCTATGAAGAAAATTACTGTCCAAGCGCAATTTAGGGCGTTTTGAGAGCACCGATGGCAAACGTTTCAAGAGGGAACTCGTACATTATCTCGGATATGGACCGCGTTCACGTCAAGATGAATCTGATTCGGAGCAATTGAGAGTTGAAGCACAAATTTGGCAGGAGTTGTAGCCTTTGTAGTAGACAATTAATATACTTTGCCCTCTGGTACCTTATTCCCGTGTTGTGACCGTGTTGATTGATTCGGGGACCACGTACCGTTGTATTTGTTTCGACACGGCGAAGGTAATGTCGGCGATCGACTGGCTTCCAAAGCGGAACGGTTGCGTGGCGGTCTCAGCGGTGAAAAACGTCAACTTCGAGGAGAGGGTCCAGCTCTCCGGCCAGGCAAGAGGGGCGCAGAACATCGCATCCTACGAACTGAAAAAGTACAACAAGATCATAGAGCTAATATTTTCGCCTTGGCAGCTACACATACTTAGATCGTGTCTGTTCGGTTCATAAGTTGCCGGTCTGCTGTTGTACGTGTGCAGGCCTATGTATCCGACCGGCTTCACGAAGCTTCACGTTCAAAATTGCCCTATTCATAGTTTCGTGGCCTCTTTTCAGGTGGACAACGCGTACGTGCTGCTTTGGGACTTCGCGGATTTGATCCATCCCATGCTCAAGCTGGAGTCACCTCACGAGATTTTCTGCTTCAGGTTCAACCCGTCGATCCCTGGAGTGAGTTGTCGGTGACAGTAGGTGGAAGCCTGTATTTGCCACCAACAGACCACGTTTGGTTGTTAGAAGCGTAGAAGGTGCAATCGTCTGAACCTACGCGGTTGAGCACCTCTCTGTACTGCTTGATGCATGGTCCCAGTCAATGTTGATATCCCGGGTGCCGCCAGCCTACAAAGTTACCCATATTCTGGTCGACCCCACTCAATCTCTTCCCTGGTGCCACAGCGACACCGGAAGGAACGTTTCCTCGTATGCCACTGTGATCTTCCTGTTCTCCCATACTCACTGTGCACGTCGGCAACACCGAAGACTCTACACACACGGCCAAGATAGCTGTCACCCCTACGTGGCTTGTGGTCGATCATCAGCTACTTTCGCTTCCCACCCCCACCCGTATCGGAACACAGACTGTTGTGGGGGGCGCCATCAATGGTCAGGTAGTAATGTGGGACATCTCCAAAGCCCTGACGTCGATAGACCAGAAGAAGCGCAAGCAAAGCGTGCGGCACATCGGGAAGCCTGGTCTGGGTGTCGGGGACGAAGACGAAGTCGTAGCGGCGCTACCTCCTATCGCGCCACACGCCGTTAGCCACATCGACATGAGCCACCGCAGGCTCGTGGCGGACCTGGCGTGGCTGCCGACAACAACGCAAGTGAGAAGACGGGATGGATGGTGCTGGCGTGCATAAATATTTCGCCTCAATTCGCGTTGCCCCGGAGGTTACGAATGGTAGACAACTCTACGTCAGAGTGTCATGGAAGACAACGCTGGTCCGTGACATGAATGCTACTTACAGACTCGGATGGTTCACTGTCAAACTTTGCATTCTTCTCGTTCTTACCGAGCTTGGGGTTCTCACAGAGAAACACGCGCACTGTGCCTTCAAAAGCATGTTGATCTCTTGATGATACTCGGAGTATGTGATGCTGGTTGGTCGTTTCTTGTTTTTGCAACCTACAACGGACGTTGAGCTGCCCCGCACCGTGTTTTGCGACCGACCGCTTAAACCGCGGCTGTCGGTACTCCCAAACCAAGGTCAACTCGAAGGGCCAGCTTCTGGGAAGCGAATACATCACGGAACACACGCACCAATTCATCACTGTCGCCAGCGATGGGCAGTGCCTTATCTGGGACACGAGATATCAGGTGCGCGTCAACACAGGCATAAAAAACAGACGCTTGTCTGTGTTTCTTTGTGGGTGTTTGGGTTAATCGTGGAATCGATAGCCTGACTTCGCCACCACCTCTACCAAGGACGAACGTCGTTGAAACGCCGCAACATAAGACCGAAGAAATAGATTCCCGTTGTTGTTGGCGCTCATGTTTAACCATCGTCAGCAATGAATCGAACACGCTCTTGGGGCATTCCGCTGGAGATATGTAAGAGCCGACGTGACCGCCTGGTTGGGTTGGACAGTCCAAGTGGATTGCTTGTCCGAACCGGTGTTGTTTGTCGCGGTTGGGCGGCCGAGGTGATCCGATTGGAAACCATGGGTATGTTGCGCGGGTTGAGCGCAGATGGCGGTATGCGGTACCGGAAACACCATCGACCTTGCAACTGCAAGCTACGATTCTAGTAGATTCGCGCGATAAACGTGCTGTGCAAAGGCAGTTACTGGTAGCAATGCTACCCACATTGCTGGACGCTCATTGCAGCAACAGTTCTTGGCACCGCTATAGTCACGGACGTTGTCATTCATCGTTGTCCACGCCGGAAAATCGCCAGGAAATAAGCGAAGGCTTGTTCCCACACATCGCGAAACCTCGGCAAACGTACGACAAGAAGAGAGAGGAACACGGTCGTCCGCCGCCGGCACCCTGGACGCCGCTCTTTCGTCTGCAGCTTAACCGATTAGAGGTGAGGATGTGGATGCCGTTCGGCTCCCGAAACTACGGCGAAATTACCGACGAAGAGTGTCTGGTTTGAGGCGGCCGCGATTGTTATTGACTTTGCCGCCATCGCCACCACAGTCGTCTGTGTCTCTCCACATCTCTCGCTCTCGCTCCTGCGCTTCCCCCTGTATCCTCTTGCTCACGCAGGACGTGGGAGAGTTGGGTCTCTGTCGGATCGTACTAGACTTGGGCGTCGCCGGGGATGGCGTAACCAGCGACAGCAAGGCCGAAGATGGGGCGGAGGAAGTGGACATGCGTTCGCAGGTATGCGAGAACCGAAGCAAAGGTAGATGCTACAGGCTCTGGTCGTTTTCACCTTCGCTGGCTACGAACTTGGTAGTTGATCCTGCCCGACATTCCGCAATGCGGGGGAGGTGGGTTTTCTGGGCTCACGTCTCTCCATCGTGACCGAGGATGAACGCGCGCCCTTGTGAGGCCACAACTCAGGCAATATGAGCATTCGACATAGGCGTGGCAAACGCGTGCCGCTCCGCTCTTCATCAGCGACCTCTCCTGGCTCTCTGTACCAATGCCATGTCGGATGGCCTGTTGCTTGGTGCGTAAGAGGATGTACACGAAGGGTGTGTCACAGCAACCAGATGTCCCAGGCGATCGCCTTCCATGACCACCCATTCGGCATATCCCAGCTTCCTGTCTGCTAACGCCCACCCCCCCATCCAACGGCACACCGCTGGTGGAGCCCGAAACCTTTCAGCACGCTACGGGGAAACTGTTTCTTGTGCCTCTTTTCAATGGCTTGACGCCGGGATGATCTTTTAGAATGCTTTGTTGGCCACCCCATGGGGTATTCGCAGAAGCGTGTGATTCTAGCAACAACTATTGAGCGCCCCTCGCCCAAAAAAAACCCATGGCGGTGACACCTGGAACTTTGAGTACCTTGGGGAAATATGTTCGGAGGGAGGTTGACCCCCCTGCCTCTAACAAAGCTCGGGGGTGTAGGTATTCTCAACGGATGTTTCGGAATCTACACGCCAAGCGCCCCCCCTCTGGCGTGCGTAATTATGCAACTAATTGTCGACGATTTCCACGTACATTCGCCCCCATATAATCCCGATGGTTGTCCCCCACACTTTACCCCAACTTCTCCTCGCGTCGCGCGACACTCCTTCAATCCAAGCTCATCTGCACGACAGAAGAGGGGGAAATCCTGCTGGCGGATTGGCGGGCAAGAGTGGGGGCCAATAGTGGACGAGGAGGGGGAGATGAGGAAGCAGGGGGAGGGGGAAACGAGAGGGGGGATGGTGGGGACGTAGCCCCGGAGTTCGTAAAGTGGGTGTCGAGCGACCACACCCGGCCGTGCGTAGCGCTGGACAAGTCGCCCTTTTTCCCGGGTGTACTGCTCAGCGTGGGCGACTGGAGCTTTCAGATTTGGAAGGTGAACAAGTAACAAATATGTGTGTTGTCAGAGTCGCAAGTACTTCCTACAGCTGAAGTCAATGCTCATCGGTTTGCTGTTTGGAAGTTGGTGCCTGTTCCAAATGTTGAGGTTCCTCCTCAACGGAAAGACACCGTTGCTTATCATTTCTATTCGGATGGAGTTCGAAATCCCGCAGCTACCTTTTCACCGATAAACCGTCGCATGTATTTCTGGCGTGGAAACCGATAGCAAAACGCGCGCGCTGTCGGCTAGCTTCTGCGTGTTATGACGGATCGCGATTCTTCCCCCGAAGTTATTGCTCCCCCATGCCGAGGGACAATCTGCGTCGTATACCTGCCTGCCTGGTTTGTCTCCGCTCCCGATACAAACGTTTGTCCAATCCGAAATTGTTGTTCCGGCTTCTCCGCCTGGCTTCCCTTCTGTTTGTTTTTGATTGGTCGGCCAAGGTGGGGCTTCGGAAACCCGTCTTCTCTTCGCCGATGGCGGCCAACTACCTCACGACCGGGCGATGGTCTCCTACACGGCCGGGAATGTTGTTCCTCGGCAAGGTGGACGGCTCGATGGACGTTTGGGATTTTACTGATAGCAGCTTCACCCCTTCGGTGACCCTGATGAGCAGCCCTTCGAGAATTACCAGGTGTTTGAGACGCAAGAAATAGAAAGGTGACGTGCGGGAGTGGTTGATGGTTGTGTGTATGCGAAGGCAATGCGCTACAGAGTATTTTAAAGGACTTGATCCGGGATGGCCGGGACTGAATGAATACAGTACCCGGTAATTTCACAGCTGTGAGTTTGAGTTCCTGTCAACGTTACTGCCGTGGTGAGGCGGCGGGAGTGAATTTTTCGATGTCGCACAGTCAACACCCCCGCCCGTGCGAACCTGGAGCATCTCTATCGACTCCGGTGCGCGCGCTCTTCCTTGTCGCTCTCGTGCGCCGGCTCATTCTTCTTTTCTCTTTTTCTTTCTCGTTCTTAGCATGGAGTTCCTGAAGCCCAAGGGGGTAGGAGGAGCGGCAAAGCTCAAGCAGCAGCTGCTTACCGTGGGGGACGCGGCAGGGAACCTCCACGTTTATGACGTGCCTCAGAACCTTTGGCGTCCCCTGGCCAACGAGAGAGCCATCATGTCGTACTTCCTCGAGAGAGAGATAAAGGTGTTCACGGCAAACCTCAGCATCAAAGCAAAGGAGAATGACCTGTTCAACGAAAAACCAGTTATATCGAGATGTGTTGATTGTTTCTACTCGCTGTGGCTGGCCGCACCACTTCAGAGACAGTCGTTTTCTGTCGCCCACCAAACGCGCGCCGAAGCTCATGCCATGGACACCCTCGTATTCTACTTTTCGAACCATTTATTGCCCTGCCCTACACGGTACATCCAGCCTGCGATGAAGCCGCGTGGGAAGGCCAGGCTGTCGCAATACAGGCGACCCACACAACCCACCTCATTCAAACCTACCTCAATCACACTGGAACCCAACGCGACCCTCAGCTTTTTCTCGTGTTCTGTTTCCGTACACACCCTGACGAAGCGTGTGGAGCACGTCTCCGAGCGACTCGAGATTCGAACAGCCGAGGCCGAGGCGATGGAAGCAGAGGAAATGCAGAACGCGTTGAATCAGCCGCCAGATGGGGCTGCAGGTGCTGCTGCTGCCGAGGAAGGTGGAGCCGGGGAACCGGCGGGTGGAGGGGACGGAGGTGGCGCTGCGGGTAACGCCATAACAAAAGGTGGACAGAGGTGTTAGAGAGCGAACATTGATGAGAGAGAACCGATGCCTTCCCTCCCAACCCATCTCCTCCGATGATAAGCGAGCTTTAACAACGCCAAAAATGGCGTCTACAGGAACTCGTATCACAGGGTACAAACAGACAAGCTCGTCCACACAAGCAATCTGACGGCACTATCTGACACTTTGGGCCCCATCCATGCATTCTCCTTTCGCCCGCCCATTGAAATAAATGATCCAGGAGACAAAAACCGAGCAGCCGCGGATCCGGCAATGGAAGAGCTCACCGAGGCCGAGAAGGCGCATCTCGCGGTTCGTCTTAGCTTCTATTGTTTTCCCCTCAAAGTACCCATGTGTTACACGACCTTCTTGCCCACACCAATGTTCGAAGAGCTTTCGCATCTCTATTACTGACGACCCAGGTCTCTTGTTCACACCTATTACTACAATAGGAAAAGTAGAGAAAAGAAGGAACATCCGCAGAATAGTTTGTGTGCCCGGGTCGTTCTTGCTCGTTCGCTCATGCAAAATACAACATACCTGTGGACCAATGCCTGAACAAAGTCGAACCTTTCCACCTGCCACTGCCACGCAAAACCGCGATAATCTGTTCCCCCCCCCAAGCAGGAACTGGAAGAAAAGTTCATCGAGGACCTCGGCTTGACCGATGCGGACCTTCCCGAGCGCTACTTGGCCACCAAGAGGTTGGCCGAGGCGGATGAACCTGCCCTCATGGCTTGATCTGAAGCAGCCCTCAAAGCACGGCCGTAGAGATTACGGGGCCGCGTGTTTTTTTACGTGGGGCGTTAGCTGTCGTGGGCAACCCCACCCACACACTATAACGGTCTTTTCATCCGCGACTGTCAGTGCGGTGTTCTGTTTGCCTCGGCGCTCGACCCTCGGGAGGGGGGCTCTTCCTATTGACAACGTGTCCATGTCGGGAGCGTGAGACCCGGGCCGGGCAGTGTGTGTAGGCAGCGAACCCTTCTCCAACAGACGAGGAAGGAAAGGGCAGGGTCACACGCACTTCCGGTGGCCTGTGCATTGGCGAATGCTCTCGGGAAGTGCTATCCTTAGAGCCCGCTAATGAATAGTGATGTTTTGGCAAATCAACCGCGTTGGACACACGAATGCTGAGTCCGTGTATTGAGTAGTGGTGCTGGGGTGATGTTTGGGCCGACGCGCAGGTGTTACGAGGGTTTCGTTTTTTTTCTGAGGTTAAGGGGTGACTCCAGGGCGTCAGAGCAATGCGCAAACCGTAGCAGGTAGTTCACATGTTGACCTTCTTCCGTACAGTAGTGAATCCATGTAGATTCATGAGTCTGTGTCTCAAAAGCATACCCTTCGCGAAGGAGGGTAGTTTCCAGAAAATTGAAGGCGAACTGCTCTCCAAGGGGGTTTTCTCCAAAATATTGGCAGAATCGTCTACGGTTAATGTTCTCACCACCCCACAGCCCGGTTCAACACGACGCCACACTGCTCCCTCACGAACGCCTCCCTCAAACGCACAAGCCGCTCCTGCAGAGCAACACCGCTAACCTCTTGCGACGCAAAACCAGCAGCACCAGCTCCTACATCTTGTTGAGAAACATTCTGCTGCCGCTGACTCTCTTGCAGTTGTTGCTGTTGTGCTTGCAGCGAAGCTTCACAACGGGCACCGTCTCCTCCCCAAACCGCGGTGTTCATCGTCGTTATCGCTGCTGCTGCCGCTGCTGCTGCTTCTCCCGCTCCCACGTGCCCCGGTAATAACGCTACGCTGCCAGCTGCCTCGCCGCCACTAGCCACACCGCTGCCATAACTAGCCTGACCGGCGCCACCGCCATCAACCCTAAACCTACCCACACCACCGGCACCGACAACTGCTCCGTCGCACGCAGCACCAGTAGCAGGCTGCTGCGTTCTGCCAATCCCCTCACTCCCAGCGAGCTGAACGGTCCCGCCCGTCTCCGTTGCCCCTGCTGTTGCCGCCGCCGTCGCCCCCTCTGCCCGATTTCGAGCATCCTCCTCCCCGCCGCCTGTCGCGGCCATCTCCTCCCCAGTCCCAAAAATGGCAGCGTAGAATTCCGGCATGCCAACCGCCCCCCCTGCCGCCTCCCACTGGGTGGTGACCACGTACGCGGTGAGGGGATCTAGGCCGCTAACAAGCCGTGCCCAGTCCTGCGGGCGCTCGTGGGCTACTCTAGGGAGCTCCTTTCGTGCCGTGTCGAGACGAAGGCGTAGGCAGACAAGAGTTGGAAGTAATAAACACCGGAGCAACGTAATTTGGTAAGCGACTTGTTTCGCCACGTCTACTACGCGCGTCCAGTGTCTCCATCTACATCGCCCAGTCGCGGGCTCGGTCAGTCCGGGCGCTTTGAAGCAAGGGAAATATCAAAACGGAAAAAATATGACGCAGATGCTTCAACCGAGCGGGTGTGTCCCGGCAGTCAAGCGCAACCTGCCGGAGTATTATGATGGTACCGCATTGTTACAGAGGCAAGGGTCGTAGCGACAAACGAAAAAGTGGGAGCCGGTTGACGGCGACGGGCTTATTTTTTCCACAACGATCACTAACGTCTGCCCAATGAAAACCGTAGATTCCCTGTATTACAATACCATATTGCAACCGGTGTGCCTAGGTCCACCGCGTGCGTTCTCTTCGTTGTCAATGCGCCCTTACCACCCTTGAGGTTGGGCTTGCCTCTCTCTTGTCGTCGTGATCGTCGTTGAAAATGCTGTCTCGTTCTGACCTCCTTTCCGGTAAGGCACGACTGCCGTGCTCGACATCCAAGTCAACACGCGAAGCAACACGACCAAGATACATTTCTTCCAAGCGCAAGTCGTACGTGTGGCTAATGTTTCCCCAAACATCGTTCACCTCCTTCATACGGTCCGTTCCCATGGTTCTGAGGTACAAGTTGCGCTCTTCGACCGTGGAGGTTGGGCCGCAGAGGGGAGACCACTCACGCTCTACCGCCGCCGCCGCCGATGTGTCAGCGGCGGGCTTTGGCACATGGTCGCCCGTCACGGTTGCCACCTCGATGTCGGCCGCGGCCATGATTGCTGCAGGGTTCGGTTATGGATACGCAGTCGCGCAAGGGTGTAGTCGATATAAGGGGCCACGCACGTGATCGATCACTTGCCCTCGAGGCGAGGTTTCGACGAGCAGCAAAGGCATGCTGTGTGGTGCCGCTTCGAAGCAACAGGAGCAACGATAACAGCGGCAACAGCACCAACATCAACAGCACGAACAACGACAACACCAACCACGATGTGCGGCGGTGCTAGCGCCCTTGACATCTACAATGTTGCTTTGCGGCGAAACTGATTAAGTCTACTGCGGCGCGGACGAGATTGCGCCAAGCATAATTGGTGCGACATGCCAAGTGCGAAAACCTCTTCTATCTTCGTCTCCAGCAGTAGCCTCGCGAAGCCGGTCTGCAAGAAGCGACTCGACAAGGCACCTCAGGTGGTAATTCCTCATATGTCCAGAGGGGCCTTCACACAGCGCCGGTCGCGCACCCTGTCGAAACAGGGACGGTGGAGGAGGAGAACGGACACAGCCCGGCGCGCCAACAAGTACACTGCAGATGGTTTTCAGGGTCGCCATCGAGATCGAGACCTCTTTTCGCAGCTCTGGCCTCTCGTTTGAACATCGCTGGTCGCAACAAAAACACGCAAGACCGGAGGTCGCCCTTCATGCATTTCTTATTGGAGGCATAAACCAAAATCACCCATGCAAAATTTGTCGCGGCTGCTTCAATATGTATCCTAGAACGACGCGCCTCGTGCCAAACATCCGCGACAATTACCTTGAACCAGACGTTGACGGCGACAGTGCCGCGAGACGAAAACACCTGGTGCCACCACCCCTCTGGAATGAAGATCGCCTCTGGCATGTGGTGTGAAGAGTGGAAAAAGCCATGAACGCGAGTACATGCACTTGGAGAAAACGACAGAGGTAATGTGGGCGGAAACGGTCCCTCCAGCACTGGCCAAACTACTGTGTGTTTGCCTACTACAGAGGTATTGGGTGGGAACGGCGACAGGTGGTTGAACCCTAAGACCCCTTACACATACCCTGCAACAGAGGAGGGGTCGTGCGGCGTAGATTGGGGGACGTGAAAAATGAGCATGGGGACCGAGCGTCTTAGAGAAAGGTCCGGCATGACAAATAGGTCTCCCAGTTGGTTCGGCGGGTAACCCCAAAGACCCGCGTGTGCTTCTTGTTGAAGTTAGGGAGCGCTTGTTTGTGCTACCTCTCGCAAATCCGTGTTTGCCAGCGGTATCCAAGTGGCGATCGCCAGATGATACGACAATCAACGCGCAGACGCCATACTAGTCTCGGGCACATTACGATGGCCGGACTAACGCCCAACGAGTCGATACTTTACTAAGAGATCACCGTCACCATCACTATCGTCACCGCCTCTTGTTGGACGGGGGCCAGCCAGCAGCAAGCGAAGAAAACGAAGTGTCTTTCAAAACAACGTAGTTGCACACGTATCATCTATATATTCCACTGGCATTCCCCACTACGCCAAGCTTAGGCATCCACAAACACGACTGCGTTTCTCAGATCAGGTCAAGGTGAATTCGTTGCTGGTCTGCAACTTCGTTTACATACCCCCTTCGGCCACATCGGCGTATACGGCTCCCTTCCGCGCGGCCTCGTCGCCGTGGACAAGTATGGCCGTTTCGGCTGGCTGTAGCCCAGAGTGATTTGCGGACTCGGAGAACACCTGGGGTAAAGAAGGCAGGGTACGCACGACTTGCGTGTGCAGGCCTAGCTAAAATCTTTGTAGGACACACATGTGTAAGTGACTGGCGTCCTGCGACGAGTCCAAGTCTTGATCTGTAACACCACTGGTTGATGTTATTGAGACGCAGCGATCGGTATTCGCCAATCGCAGACTCGAGTCGGACACAATTCTATTTGAGCTCTCACTCCACACCACTTCGCCATCTGTTCCCTTGTTCCCGCAGCGATTACTCATCGATATTAATGACCAACCAAAAGTGGGGGCAAAGCAGCCAATCACGTTACGTCCCCGGTTCCCCTAGAAACATCAAAATAGACATCATTCCGAAAGCCTGCACAACCATAAATGAAGGCGAAGACTATTGACATCGTCAATCTACGCAAATAAAGAAGACCTCCCCTGTGCTCTGACATGGTTAGCATTCAAGGTATCCTCTCCATCGCTTCCTACTCTTGTACGCTGACCCTCATGCCTACGTAGGTGGCGCAGTGTCACACACACACCCAGGTCTCCGTGAGCCGAATTATCGACACCTATTTCGGGATAACGCGGGGAGCACTGTTGCTACCGTCGTATCGTTAAACACATTTATACACAAAGATCTGCCCGACGCCCGTTCCCTTGGACAGCCGCATTTCTCGCCAGGAAACCGGGTTCATATTTGTTTGGAGGGGTGAGAACTGCGTCACAACGAATTGTCGAGTTTAAGCTAAGCATTGAACCATTAACCTCAGAACTGTCTCTCACTTGCACATGTCTGGCCTGTACCCCAGCAGAGCCGTCTCCACTCCACTCATGCCCCACAGTTCTAGGAACCGCTGAGTCCGATCCCGAAATCCGAATAAAGACTCTGACCAAAAAAAAACCTGGCTGCGTCTCTCACCGGCATGGCGTCAACATCGGCTGTCATGTCCGGCGGCAGCAGAGCAACCCGCTTGCTCCCCTTGAGGACGAAGAGAAGGTTGTGGTTGGCGTCGTAGTGTAGGTTGGTCGTTGTCTCCATCGCCCCCATCCACAGGTTGATCTGGAGGAGGTCTTCCTCCGCAACACAAGAAGGCCTGGTGTTTGTTTGAATGGTACCGGGGTGCTTTTTGAGTTAAACCGTGGGCATCAGGAGTACAAAATGAGACGGCACAAGAGAAAGACAAGAAACGACCGGAGCGAGAGTGTAAAAACATGTCCAGAGGCGATTGGGTAGTGCGCTCGGGTGTTCCGGTGTGTCGTGGGTACACTGAGAAAATCTCAGTGGCACCAACACAAAAGGAAAGACTACGAACAGGAGAAACAGCTTAAACAACAACAAGAATGAGAGTCGACAGGGGCGAATACAAACATCCTCGAGGTTGGTTCGGTTTCGTGCCTAGGGAAATAGACCACCAGCCAAGAAGCACGCACATACACGCGCAAGACATAGCCTTCGTAAGAAACCATGGCATGTCATTCGCGAGGTCTAGGATATTTTTCGGAATCGTCCCCATACACTCACGTGCGAAACTCGCCCGCGATGGCGCTAAGCACTTCCGGCTTCCCCTCCTCCCTCGAAATAACTGGACACTGGCACAAGTAGTAGTCCAATCCAACCTCCTGCGTACAGGTTTGTGTCAAGTACGTTCGGTTCATACCATTCTGGTTACGGCGGGGTGGCTGAAGGCAACCCAACAGCGATGGTGATCGATGGATGTTACAGCCGAACTACCAGGACGGAACACAAACTTTGGGATCCGCAGGATGCGCGACTTCATGGGGGGAGAAAAGAGGGTGTCGCCATAGATGCTTCGCGCGGTTGAGCGGCTGACAGCCTCAGGTGCTTGGTACCGTTGACCTTCGTAGATGGCGGTCTTTGTTGCCATCTGCATAGACACGGGGGTGCGTGACGCGACCGAAGAATGACCCCATACGTCCTATGAGTGCCCTCAGCGTGGTATCGCTGGATGGTTCCTGCCGACAACACTCTCATCCGCGGACGTGAGGCGCCAAGCCCCTGCGCTGCCCGCATCCAGCACAAGGATAAATCCCACCACCCTCGGGCAGCGGCTGCTCAGGCACCTCTACCTGTAGACCATTGTTCATTTCAAGGAGTACGTGGCAAGGATATAAAGCTGATGTTTTCTGCGCACTCGGAAGGGACTTCGAACTGGTCTGAAGCTCATTCGTCTCAACCCCTACACTCACGTCCGATGATGCCCAGTGCGGTTGTCCCAACTCTTGGGCCTCAGCTATCTCCACCATGTCCATGAGCTTCAGGTTCACTTGCTGCCGGCTGGCCTTGTCGCCACGAAATGAATTGCCTTTCTTGGTGCAGGAAATATCCACCCCTTGGAGGAACGGTGTGAAGCAAGGTGACCGCAGCTAAGGGACACGTCTTGGTGGTGCATGCGTGACGCAGCCTGTTGAGTACTGATCAGGAGGATGACACACAAGACCGCAAACGGTGGCGACCGCGGGAGCGGCGCCTCCCCAACCCCCTCCGGTCCCTCTCAGGTAAGCTTAGGTACTCTTGATCACAAAAGAGTCAGTGATTGAGGGAAAAGAAGCCGACTAGGAACAGTAGGTAACTCCATCCTCCCCTGGAGCAAAGCTCATCCTAGAATATTTGAGGCTCTGTACATTGGCGGTTCCTGTAGGAATATCTACGTTACATAGTGTCCTTTATCTCCAGCTAACCCACTCACTCAGCTGGTCCAGGCCACGGGTTGCCAAGACTGATTTGATTCCGGCGAAGGTGCTCCACCGCTGTGCCGCGTCTTTGTTGAGAACCTGGTGCGCCCAGTACCCACACATAAGAAGCGGGTGGTTCTCTGCCATCTTTGGGGCCATGTATGACATCACGCCCTCGGAGCCCACATCCCGCCAGCGAACGACACGAATGGTCCGTTGGGTCGCCATACAAGCATCTGGGTTCTGGTCGACCGTCTATAAAACCTCGTACTTTCTCTCCTTCGCCTGTCAATTGGTGGGCAGTGTATGCAGGGGCGCACCGGTCCGACAAAGCTTGCGAACATCGTTATCGTGTTAAAAACTGTTCGTGGATCTGCGAACATTGGTTTCGGATACATGTGCTGTATGATTTGGTGTCACGCAGATTGGTAACATTGCCGTTTGGTTGGGGACACCGCGATGATTCACGGGGCCCCTCCTTGCTGTGGGAGCTGCTATGTGGGGCACTCCCTGTTTCGTCCGCGTAGAAGACGGTCGTCTTCCTGTCGTGAAGTTAAGACATCACCGACACAGTCTCACTCGATAAATACATGTACGCCGAAAACACTCTAGGGTTTGCCCCTCGAGGGAAGCCACATTGGGATGAGCGCTGCCGGAGAATATGATCGCTCCGCCGGCAGCGAAGAACAGACTCGCACGGCGGCGCAAGAGGGCCGCGACGCGGAGCTTGCAAGTTTGAAACTGCAGGTGTAGCGATTGGCGGCCCTGGTGTAGGAGTCGATGAAGAAGAAGCCTGGCAGCGTCGTGGCGGATGCAGCCAGAAGGGGCGGCTGGGTTGACGCCCCCGGAGGCCAAGATCAACCCACGCAGCCGCTCGGCGGAGGCGGGGGATTTCTCCAGCAAGCGAGAGATGGTGGGCAAGGAACACGTCAGCTGCTGGAATGCGGCTGGCCCAGCAGATCAGGAGCGAATCCTGCGAGACCAGCCGGAGTGGGCCTGGGCGTACGACCGGACAACGGGAAAGCGAGGGGGTTAAACCACCCAGGTGAGATACCCGTGATTCGAGGCAATGGAGAATTCCTCGATGGCCACAACAGTAGCCACATGAAGATTGTCACAGCCAACGCCCCTCGTCTCGAAGGGGAGAGTCGCGACCACGGGAATGATTCGCGGAGAAAGTCGCTTATCCAAGCGGCCAAAACTGTAGGACTGGACGGGCAATTGCTGGGCAACAACGGGAGACATGCACCTGTCGGCAACCCAAACGTACAAAGCTCGGAGCTGCACCGCCTCGAATACACGAGCGACGAGCTGCAGAGGGGCCTCCAAGCGTTCCATTTTGTGCCCACTGCGATCGTCAGAGAAGCCGACAAGGCGACCGTGAACAAATGCGAGACCGCAAAAGAGATCTTGCGGAACTCGACAAAATCTAACGATCCGTGATCGAAGGGCTCGAAACAAGCCATCATGAAGCTAATGTTCTACTTCACGATCCCCGCTCGCAGCAGCAGAAACCCCATCGAGCACTTATACTCGCTTGAGCTGCTGTACTCATGCCTGCGCGAAAAAGGGCTTAACGCTGACGCACCCTTTGTAACTTCGTTGGTTCCCTCCCACCCGAGTACCAACAAGCGAAGTTCCTCTTGGAGGCAGCAACGGCGCTGGAAAGGGTCGAGATCGTCAGGATCGTGAGCACGGTGCACGCGAGTCTCCCGGAGGGGAGGAAGGCCTCGAAGGGCCAGCGGAGGGCGAAGTATACTCTCCGCGAGCGACGGTAGCGGTGGGGGTGGACCTCCGGGCCGCGGCAACTAGAAGGGGAGAGGGGGGGGCGCGAAGACTGGCGGCGGCGGCGGAGGCGGGGACGGCGGTGCGAGCGCGGTCGCTGCTTCCGGTGCGGCAAGAAGGGTCACCAGGTGGCCGACTGCACCGAGAGCAAGCTCGTGCGATGTGAACAATGCAAGGGCTACGGACACGACAAGAGCAAGTGCCCGACCGAGGAGGCAGTGCTCGTGGTGGAGTGCCGGCGAGGGTGGCGTCCACGGACGCCACAGCACTAGGCATGGCAGTAGAGGCGCTGGTGGTCTGTGACATCTCAGGCGAGTGTCGCGAAGTCGTTGGTCGAGGGGATGTAGAGCAGGTTAGGCGAGGGAGGTATGTTGCCGATCCCGGCGCTACCACCCACATGTTCGCGAACACTGATGGGTTCTTTCGTTACGAAGAGCGTGATCGACGTGTGCGCGTCGCCGCCGGAGAAACCGTCTCTATTGTACAGGTACGGTGACGTAACTGTCACCCCTAGCCCGCAAGACGGAACAACCGAACCGTTGTTGAAACGGGTTGCACACGTACCTCAGTCAGATTACAACCTTGTATCTCTCACTTCCCCCTTCGATGACGAGTTCAAAACAAAAACCCTCAATGAACACGAGTGGGAGTTGGAGAGGGGGGGGGGGGGG